ATCTGCTGAGATAGGCTATTCCCCATATGAGGTAATTTTGGACTTTATTATTATTAATTATATATATATAATAATAATTAAAAAGTTAATGGTCAGAGCTGAATTAGATCAAGAAACAGTAGTACTAAAAAGAGCTTTTAAGTATAAAAAAATTAGATCAGCCGATTCCACTACCTTGGTTTCAAACTTTTAGTATCTTCAGGTGATTTTGGTCAATTGAAACTGATGGAAGACACATACCAAGCACTTTCAACAATTTCAAACAACTCGAATATAAGGATTTCATTATTCAAGGAATTGATAGTAAGTTACTGTCTCATTAAGTTCTGTTAGCGAAGTGATTTCACCATTAATCACATTAACATTGCTATTTAATTCTTTGTATAAATTGTTTCTTTTATATAAAATATAAGCTGCACACTCTAATATATATATATATATATATATATATATATATATATATATATATAAAAATAATACATAGAATCAATCAGAAATATTAATGCGATTAATGGCGAAATCACTTCGCTAGTAGAACATAATGTAATGCATTAAAATACTGTTAATCCTTTGAATGATGTGATCCTCATTTATAAAACTTGTCAGATGTTTCTAGTCTATATTTTTTCAGGGTAAAAGGTTTCTAGTGTATAATATATTCAGGGGGTAAATATATATATATATATATATATATATATATATATATATATATATATATATATATAAGACTTTACCCTGAAGATCCGTTTAGGTGAAACCTAGGTAGGTTTGCCTGGCTCCTTAGGATTATCTTAGGTTTTACTCTACTTACTGTATTGAGCACTTTATGTAGTTGTCTTTTTATTCCCCATTTTTCCTCGGGTACCGATTTGTTCGACTCCAAGTCGAGCTATCCGTGGTTTTTCCAAACGAGTACCAATATATATATATATATATATATATATATATATATATATATAGGCAGCCAGTGTGTGATAATTTAAAACTATAATGCAAGTAGTTGTATTCATGTGAACACTGTAGAAGAGGTAATACATGAATGTATTGACAACTATGTAAAGTGCTCAATACATGATTGTATGGCCATACGAAAACAAAACTGCTTTCAATTAATCACCACAGAGAACCATTTTTGCCTGTCATCAGCATGGCTGGTGCTAAACTCCAGGAATGCAACATTTTGTGCCTTGTTGGACTTATCTTTTCCACTGACATGAATGGAGTGGTTTTATTGAATCAACTGCTAGGAAAGTTGGTTCAGTGTGTTGTGCCAGACAATTTTACTTCTCAGAATCTATCAGGCACATTCATAAATCTACCATTCATCCATGGCTTAAATACTGCTGCCATTTCTGGTCTGATACTTCTACTACATATCTTGAGATTGCTGACAAAATTCAAAGAAAGGTCTGTAATGTAATCGATCCTAACCTGGCATCTCGGCTTCAGTCACTTTCCCACTTACATGATGTAGCTTCCCTCTGTCTTTTCTACAAATATTTTCATGGCAATTGTCCTGATGAGCTCTTCTCCTTAGTGTCTCGACTGCATGAATTTAAGTCTGTTATTAGATTGGCAACTAGATCTGAATATTTCGCTTTTGAACTAGCTAGATGCAATTGTCTATTCTAATCGTTTCTTTTCTTGCACTTCTCACCTGTGGAACTCTCTTCTGATTTCTTGCTTCTCTGTCACCTACAATCTTTAAAAGTTTAAATACAAAGTTAATTGCCATTTTCTATCTTCCAAAATCCTGTTACTTTATTGTCCTTTTCTTCACTTCTCCCCATTCTCTTTTAATGTTCTCTTTCTCTTTTAATCCCTGTAGCCCTTTGCGTCTTAGTGCTGTCGACGCCTTGCTTGGAGTGAAATGATGAAAAAAAAAAAAAAAAAAAACAAGTGCAAAATGATCTCATAGATTGTACACAGGCATTTGATAAAAATGCAACACGAAAAAAAGTCACCTTTTTTCTTGTCTTTTTCTTTCTTTCTTTCGTTCTTTCGTTCTTTCTTCCTTTCTTTCTTTCTTTCTTTCTTAAAAAAAAGAAAGAATCATGCAAAAGAAACACTTGACACTCCTCATGAATAACATCTTCCCAGATTCGGAAATGCATGAAATTTTCTTATGTAAACGATCAAACAGATTGCATAAAGACTGGAGCATTCAATTTGTCTTTTTAGTGTAGTTTATTTAAGTTTCAAAATGTGGGAGTAAACGTGAGTCCACATTTTTTTCATATTTCTGCTTGGCCTCAGCTGATTGCCTGATTGGTTTGGCCATCTTTATTTTTCCAATCAAATTTAGTTCTACTTTCTGAAATATACAATAAGCCTTCCATTGAATATCCCTGTCACATTGGGCATTAACACACATTTTTTTTTTAAATTCGAGTTCACCCCAAGCAAGGCAATAAAGCCACCAAGATACAAGGGGATCCTTGATGTGGAAGAATTAGAAAACAGAATATTACTAAGGAGCAAGAATAAAAGAGTAATCAGGAGGAGAGTAGATAGTGGTTGACATTGCATTTAAATTTTTGAAGATTAAAGTTGACTGGAAAGCATGGCGCTAGAAGAGGGAGTTCCACAAGCAAGAAGTGCGAGAAAAACTATATTATTGAAAACCTTCGTTCTTTTCCATGTTATTACATGGGCCTCAAAGTCACACCTGACCTCAAGCGGAACTCGTACATACGATCCATTTGCTAAAGAAGTAGGTAAAAAGGTTGGCGCCCTGCACCGCTCCAGTAAGTACCTGACTAATCATGCTATTCTCTACCTTTATAAGAGCCAGATCAAGTCGAAAATGAAATAATTTTATCATATTTGGGTGGGAGCTACTCAGACCTCACTCTCCAGCCTTGCTAGTCCAAAAGCGACTTTGGGTTACAAATTATTCTCCGCCCCCAACTTCTCTCTTATACGCGGGGTGTGGCAGACCACTTACTGCTCTATCACTACTTCTATGGAAAGTGCTCGGACGAACATGTGCTTAGGCGATCATGTATCTTTTTTTCCCGTAATAGTTTGCCATTATCTTTCTGCGATAGACCAGTTGCCATTCAAGGCTATAGAACCTGGTCTGTCCTGCTATTTACCCATAGCTGGGGAAGAAGAAGAGTATTCATACCTTTCCTAAGGCTATTAGTACGTAAGTGTGTGTAATGGATTTGACTGGAATTCGAACTCGGCTCTTCGATTCCTCAATCCATTATTCCTTTATTTTTACATTCAGAATGCTTTAAAAATTCCATTTACAAGACAATTGTTTATAATAAAATTCTATTCAATCGGTAGACTCCTACGGAAAAGCGGAAATTAAAGAGACTCTATAACATTGTTCAGAAATTCTGGTATTCTTACACTGATGACATCATGTTTTTGTTTGAGTTTGGGTTTGACCAATTCGTTAAAAAAAAAAAAAAAAACTAATTAAGACATGCGTGTCCGTCAACCTTAAACAATAATCTTTGTCAATTTTATTTTTCAGTTTTTATGATGGTCGATACTTGATCTATCTCTTACTGTTACATCCCCGGGCAACGCCGGGCTCTACTGCTAGTATGTTATAAAATCACTACAAAAATAGCCATTTTGTTTCAACACCTTTGGCGTCTTATCAAGTGATGATGTTGAATGTAGATTCTACATTAATATAACTGAATTTGAAGTTTTTGTTTTCTGTTTTTTGAAACATGGTAATTCATGTGTAGCGATGAAATCATATTTTTTAAATCAGTTAATTTTATAATATATATATATATATATATATATATATATATATATATATATATATATATATATATAATTGAAAAATCTTCATTTTTTTCCATATTAGTACATATACATATTCAAGGATTATTTTTTATATTGGAGTTTTACAAATTTAATATCCATAGAAAATCCTGATGGATTTTTAAACTTGAATAATGTACAGTAATTTGTTTTAATTTATAACTAATTCTTAAATAAATAAATCGAAGCCGACTTCAATAAAAAAAAAATCAATATAATGCCAAAGTATTGGAATTCAATAAGCAAAAATGAAGGTAATAGTTCTGTGATTCTCAAACATTTTTTTACCCAATGCACTTTTTTCACCCTAACCCAGAATGTCATCCCCACCACCCTTTTCCAAGATTGTCCGACTCAAAAGGCGCGTTCCAAATAATATGCATATATTATTGAAAATTTTCATTCTTTTCCATATTCGTACATACACATTTACAGGGATTATTTTTAGAGAGGAATTTTTCTTGGCAAAATTCTGTAAATAAAAGACAAGAAAAAGTAAAATATTTTCCCCTCTCCAACCGGAGAAATTCCCAGCTAGGGGAGACTTCCCCGCTAGTTGAGAACTACTGCTTTTGAATAAAATGTCGACCTGCCCCGCGAATGCAAACTGGGAAAATATTAAGAAGAATTCAAGAAACATGCCTGGATAACAACCCTATTTCTGATTGGATTCGTGAGCTGTGATTTTCTTGTCAGTTCACTTAGGTATGGCCGCGTCAAAAAAGCGGAAATTAAAGAGACTCTATAACATTGTTCAGAAGTTCTGGTAGTCTTACACTGTTACGGTAAACCATTGAAACCTGATGACATCATGAGACATTGCTGGAGTGTCCTGGGTTAGTGTTAATCATGTTTTCCCTCTCAAATTATGGCTGATGATTTCGCAGAATATTTTTTTAATGCTACGTCTCATTAAGATGTAAGCGATCATGACGCTTCACAGCTTCTTTTTTATTATTTGTGAATTGCTATGACCTTCCACCAAGTAGTAATAGTTATAAGTTTTCTGAATTTCTTAGATGAAGCATTGGCAATCCTTTCTTTCTTTCGTTCGATACATTCTCTCTTTCCTTCTTGTTTCTTCGCATCATTCTCTTTCGATATTTCTCTCTCTCTCTCTCTCTCTCTCTCTCTCTCTATATATATATATATATATATATATATATATATATATATATATATAATTTAGTTTTTTCCTTCATTAGATTTCTTTCCACTTCTTTTTTCTACGCGTCATTCTATTTCTTTATATCTTTCTTTCCTTCTTTCGATTCCTTTCCTCTTTCCTTCTTTTTTCTTTCCGTCATTCTCTTTCTTTCTTTTCTTTCTTTCTTTCTTTTTCTTTCTTTCATTCTTTCTTTCGATTCCTCTCCTCTTTTCTTCACGTCATTCTCTTTCTTTCTTTCTTTCTTTCTATTCCTTTCCTCTTTCGTTTTTCTTTCTACGTGCCATTCTTTTTCTTTCTTTCCTTCTTTCGATTATTTTCCTCTTCTTTTTTCTTCACGTCATTCTTTCATTCTTTCTTTCTTTCTTTCTTTCTACGTGCCATTCTTTTTCTTTCTTTCCTTCTTTCGATTATTTTCCTCTTCTTTTTTCTTCACGTCTTTCTTTCTTTCTTTCTTTCTTTCTTTCGATTCCTTTCCTCTTTCCTTCTTTTTCTACGCGTCATTCTTTTCTTTCTTTCTTTCTTTCTTTCTTTCTTTCTTTCTTTCTTATGCAGACTGATCTGTACCCGTTTTAAATACCCACTTCATAAACAGCAAACGAAGCTATCAATGACGATCATAAAGAGAAGGTGTGGCGCATTGCCACATCGGGCTGGCCTGACCCTACACACAGTATCCAGCATGCAATCTTTCGGCAAAGTCCCTCCTTCAGCTTGGCCTTTCCTCCCGCCCCGATGTCCCCGAGTGCAGATGCGCGTGCGCTCGCGCGTGTGTGTACACACATACGGGTTATTTAAGAGTTTAATCAACCCCTAACAGGAACCACAAACATATTACCGATCAGAATCGAAGACTGCAGAGGCGCCAGCATGAGCGGGTGGACAACGGATATATTCATAGAGGAAAGGCAAAGATGAAGATAAATTTTTATTAGATTTTCTTCTTTCCACTTTGAATGTGAAGTGATTACGGTCGAGAAGAGAAAAAGAAAAAAAAAAAAACGCAAAACAAAACAGCAGAACAAACGTTAACGATGAATATAGGATGAAATTGCTTTAAAACGGCACATTTTTATAACAATTCTCTTTTTAATAAATATACATATTATCCCTAACCGGTAGAACGACTCGATGTCTCGTGCCCAACGCTATCTTCAGATGCTGAGTATAGACTGACCGTTACGTAATTTATATTTTAATAAAAATATCTAGTTAACGCAATGTTAGCGAAGTCCATATATAATACGAGGGTTACAGTTTTTTATTTTATTTTAAAGATATATATTGCATTTAAAATAGACGGGATTTTTATTTTAAATATATATAAAAAAAATTGTTTTGTGTATGTATCCATAGCTCAATTAGGTCTCATTTAAATACATACGGAGACCTGCCAAACTCTATCCGTAACATAATCGTTGATAATACAAATATTATAGCCTCATCCAGATGTAAAAAAGGCTAAAAATAATGAAAGCATTACTAATTAAAAAGAAAACGCCAACACTCAATAATATCAACTGTGAACACGGACACAAAGTGATGACCATGTTTTGAAAATAAAACATTTGTATAACTCTAGATACACACATAAAAAAAATTCATACGTTCAGTTAAAAGTAAAAATAAAATCAACCTTGATAATGGCTGAAAGAATAGGCAAAAGAGCTTGGACATACAAAACTTTCAAACAGATTCAACATAATGTGTGTCCAGAAAAGAAGAAAATTACTAAATATAAAAATGGATGGCTGCCCAAGTGCACAATTATATATATATATGTGTGTGTGTGTGTGTGCGTATGTGTGAATAAAAACAAAAGGAAAACTTATTTTGGTCAAGATAATTTTCCATTTGTCTTTATTCATATTATCCTTTTACAGATATATTTTTTTAGTTATATCTGAAATTTTACACATACACACACACATATATATATACTGTCTATTTTCGCGTATAAGGCGACCTATAGATAAGACGGGACCCAAAATCTAGGTAAATATTTGTGATTTTATCTGATATCCGTAATATAAGTATAATGTATTCAGATATAAATAGAATCTGTGAGGACAATATAAATAAAAGATGAGATGAAATAATTTATATGCCAATGCGTTTCGTTCCTTGAAGAAGTTTTCCTAGGTAAGTGTAGAAATTTAAAATAGTAACATGTATTTATAAATTGAAGTAACGTTGGCATAAAATCTTTTCCTCTTATCTTTTCTTTATATATATATATATATATATATATATATATATATATATATATATATATATATATATGTAGTAATCCGTTGGTATAATCCAGGTGAGTCCTATTAACACAAAATAGAATTTGAGATATATTAAAGAGCGTTCCATATTTATTTTAAATAAACAGTGCAAGTTTTGAAAAATCCTTAAATATATATATATATATATATATATATATATTAAATTTTTATATATACATAATTATTTACATTTTTTAATTTATTAATATACTGATGAAATCCTAAAGGACGAAACGTGTCACACGAAAACCCTTCCCACTTTATCATAGATTTCCATTATATATATATATATATATATATATATATATATATATATATATATATATATATATATATATATATATAGGAAGAAAAAAGAGACAAGAGGAAAAATTATACTTATCCGACGCGCTTCGTCCTCTACAGAAAAAAATTATTTATATTTTATTGGCTTGATAAAATCACTAAGAGAACGAAACGTGTCAGCTAAGTATAATGTTTCTTATCTTCTTTTATTCATTTTGTCTCTTCTACAGATACACTCCATCTAAGAATATATATATATATATATATATATATATATATATATATATATATATAATATAGGTACCGCCAAAGATCTGCTAAAAAAATGAGCATACATGACGAAAAAAATTCTTTAAACTTAATAAATATACAGTTTTATCGGTAAAATCTTTATGTTATTAGTAAGAAGAAAGTCCTGAGGATTGTTTGATAAATTATATTTTTTAATCGTCTTTCGAACCTTCAAAATTGTGGTTAAATTTGTTTTTCTTGCGTCATGGGGTGGCCATAAATTAGTAAATTGATCGTCTTTTTTTCGGTAAAAATAACACAATGTTTTAGAAATCATAAAATAAAAATTTGTTGAAAAGAGGTAAAATTCAATCAAACTTCAAAATGATAAAATTGTAGAGATACAAAAATAGAGCTTCAAAAAGACAAAACACTCCGGTAAAGATATTAAGTTGTCATATAAACTCGTTTTTTTTTATAATTTATTCCAATACTTATTATTTAATCATTCAACAATGTATTCTCCTTCATTATTTACAGCCTCCTTCCAACGATCTACTGACAGTTCAGTACCTCGACTATAAAATCAATAGGTTGTGACTCGAAAAATTCATCGAGACAAGTTTTAATCTCTATGTCGTTGATGAATGAAACACCCCTCGAATTGTTAGAAAGTGACCGAAAAAGGTGGTATTCTGAAGGGACTAAATCAGGAAAATATGGTGGATATGGCAGAACTTCCCAACCGAGCTCTTTAATTGCATGTTTGGTTATGTTAGCGATGTGGGGACGAGCATTGTCATGTTGATTGATCACACTGTATCGACGGTCAGGTTTTTTCAGCTGAATCGCATCTTTGAGCCTTTTCATTTCTTCATCATACGTTTTAGCATTGACCGTTTCTTGGTTTTGAAGCATGTCATCTCTGCACACAGCACTAATGTCCCAAGAATCTTTAGCAGCTTTGTAACCTTGATTAAAAGATGTCCAACATGCTCATTCTTGTCCATTTGGAATTCCGTTTCAAAGGGCTGTTTAATCTGAAATAAAATTTCAGTAACGCTAGACAACAGTTTCCAAGGATGACCAGAGTTACGAAGAAGCAAAAAATGCTACGAAAGATTGTTCTTCACGATTATTCGCAGAACCTCAGAAAAAAATAACGAACCTAATGTTTTGCGTGTTAATTCAAATAACTGTTCAATGCTTCGACAATAGAAACCAATAGGTTGTGACTTGAAAAATTCATCAAGCCACATTTCAAGCTCCACAACGTTGTTGAACGAAACACCCTTCAAATTGTTAGAAAATGGCCGAAAAAGATGGTAGTCTGAAAGGGCTAAATCAAGAGAAGATATTGTGTGTGGCAGATCTTCCCAATCAAGCTATTTAATTATATCATGTTTGCGATGTATGTGGGGGCATTGTCATGTTGTGTTATAACACTGTATATGCGGTCGGGTCCTTTCATCTTTGAGCCTCTGTTCATTTGAGCTTGGTGTTGACCGTTTCGTAGTTTTGAAGTGTTTCATCTCCGTACACAGCACAAATGTCTCGAGCAGCTTTATGACTTTGAATAAAAGTAAAGAGAAGAAGATGTCAAACATGCTCATTCTTGTCCATTTGGAATTCCCATCTCAAAGGGCTGTCTAATTTGAAATAAAATTTCAATAACGTCAGACAACAGTTCACAGGATGACCAGAAGCAAAAAATGCTACGAAAGATTGTTCTTCGCGATTATTCGCAGAACCTCAGAAAAAAATAACGAACCTAATGTTTTGCGTGTTAATTCAAATAACTGTTCAATGCTTCGACATTAGAAACCAATAGGTTGTGACTTGAAAAATTCATCAAACGACGTTTTAATCTCCACGTCGTTGATGAACGAAACACCCCTCAAATTGTTAGAAAGCGAATGAAAATGGTGGTATTCTGAAGGGACTGAATCAGGAAAATATGATAGATGTGGCAGAACTTCCCAACCGTGCTCTTTAATTGCATGTTTGGTTATGTTAGCGATGTGGGGACGGCCATTGTCATGTTGATGTGACGTTTATTAAAAGCAAACAGAAGATGATGTTGAACATTTTCATTCTTGTCTACTTGGCATTCCGTCTCAAAAGTGGGTGTCTAATCTGAAATAAAATTTCAATAACGTTAGACAACAGTTTCACAAGATTACCAGAGTTACTAAGAAGCAAAAAATGCCACGAAAGATTGTTCTTCGACATCATTCGTAGAACATCTGAAAAAAAAAAACAAAAAACAAAAAAAAAAAAAAACAAAACAAACAAAAAAAAAAAAAACAAAACAAAAAACGAACGAATATATGTAAGAACCTAATATTTTGCGTATTAATTCAGATAACATTGAAAGAAACGAGCGGATTTATCTGACAACAAAGAAATATCAAGGAGACACTACTTAGCCGTGAGGATTGTCTCGTTGTGTGAAACGTTAAATAACGGCAGTGTCTTTTGGATATTTATGGATTATATAAATAAGCCATAGAATGGGCGAAAGCGGACAACTGGCGCCTCATAACTAGCTGCTTCGTGTAGATGGAGCTCGACATCCCAGGAAGACAGCACATCTAGGGAAAGGAATAATACTTTTTCACACCCAACCCAGTTCTGCGGAATCAGAATCAACGTTGAGTTTAAGCAAGTGAATGAGCCAATTGGAGTAAAGTGCCATGCAGATTTAAATTTTTCCCACTTGTGACGAATGCAGCTATCCTTTTTTGTTTGCATGCTAGCATGCTAGTTAACATTCATGTCAGTCAGCTGTTGGCTCTCACGCTGGCCAATAGAATCTTCGTGCCTATTCGTGGCAGCCAGCTATTGGCTCTCACTCTGGCCAGTAGAAAATGGCCACAAACTACATGAAAACTGCCGTAGAAGCATGAAAAATCGATTCTTTCCACTATCGATGGGAGTTGGGAAATGCAAAGTCGGTCTGGGCCTTCCCGCTAACTTGGAGCATGTGCATGTAAATTTTGGTGCAAATCCGTCGAAAATTGCGGCTGTGCATTCGTTACACACACACACACACACACACACACACACACACACACACACACACACACACACACACACACACATCTTGCCTTTTATAGATAAAGATTAGACCAGGAGATTTTCTTTTATTAATAAATCATATTTTTTTAAACTTTTTAGAACCTTCAAAATTTTGGTCGAAAATTTTGTTTTTCTTACGTCAGCAGCTGACCATAAATTAGTACATGTAATTTTAGTGTCTTTTTTCGGTGAAAAACACATTGATTTGAAAATTCTTGCAAAAATCAAAAAACTGTCGGATGTTAAAGAAATTTTTAGGACTTATTCACAAATGAATGAAATTATTTTGGAAATGTTTTCTTTTCAGAAAATATTGATAAAAATATTACTTTTTACATCTGTTCCCGCCCACTTATTTAATTTTGTGAAATTTCGAGAAATTCATTTTTTTAGAGCTTAATCTTTATATTAGTTATAAGGAAAAGTCCTTGGAGAATTTAAATCAGTTTTGTTTTTGTTAAACAGGATTTCCAGTTACAGAAAAGCTGTTCTGAATTGTAAAATAAAAAATGCAATAAAACTAAAATATTATTTAATTAGAAAAACTTTTAATTGTTTTTATGAATAATTTTTTTCGATGAATGATAATTTTTTTACAAGAATTGTTTTCATTTAAAAAAAATAATTATAATAAAAAACCGCTTAAAATTCTGTATTAATTTGTAGCGCTGAGGTGATATTGTTATTAAGTGAAAACTAGATTTACTGATCATTAATGGAATAGCTTCATTGACTCCAGTATTTTAAAAAAAATTTTGAATATTTTTTTTGTGTTTAAACGTACCGATTTTTGTAAATACGGATGTCCATGCACGACATAGCAGAAACTAAGAGCGGTTGATATAGTAAATTTAAAAATTACTTAGAATATGTTCCTAATTTTTAAAAATTACTGGATAGTTAAAAAAATATATATAAAAAAGGCGTTTACATTGTATTCGTCAAGTAATTTTTAGAGTTATGGGCCCTTTAATTCCAAACAGTTTTTTCTTTTTATGTGCCATGTCCTTTCAGATCATGGCTCTCCACATCCCTTGTAGCTCTCAACAAGTTCCTTCCCTCTGCTAGCTCCCCCGGACCACGTTCTGTCATCCACCTGCTAGGAATATCACGCGCTGCTTTTTCCCTCTATTCGACCCGTGAGTATCAGATTCTCCAGGCTCTCCTTCCTCATTGTGTCCCAGGAACTTCAGCTGCCTCTTCCTGATGTTAAGTATAAGCCTTCTCCTTGTTTGCATCCTCTCTAAGACTTCATCGATGCTCACACGCTCGGTCCATGATATCTTTAGCATCCTTCTGTAGAACCACATCTCCCTCGCCTCGAGTCTCGTCTTCATCCTTGAGACAATCGTCCGCCATTCGCTGCCGTAAAGAAGAAGAGATGCCACGTAACAGCTCAGTATTCTTTTCGTTGTTACCAAAGAAATCCAAACATAATCTATCGATAAATTTGTTAACATTTCATCAAAACACCCACCCCCGTGTTAAAAAAATAATACTTTTCTGCGATATTTTAAACTAAAAGTAAATAATATTTGTTTTAATTCAAATTAATTTAATTCAGTTAATATTATTCAAATAAAGTTTCATAAAAAATATATTTTTTTATAGATTTTTTAATAAAGAGAATCGTGTTGACAGTTTTCTCAATATGGCCGATTTCAGTGCTACAAAAAATAGATTTTTTTATGCAGATGTCACCAAACTTGCTCAGAAATATTGAAAGTGTCAGCTATTTACATCCACTTTCTCAAATCAATGGTTTAAAATGGCTTTGAGCGAGTGAAACCAGTTGATCTTAACGAAGACCATCCTTTGAATATTGTAGGCTGGCGCCACAGAATCACAAAGAACTGTACCAAATAAAAACAAAAACATATCACTTGATGACTACCAACAGCAGTAGAAACTAAAATGGATAGCACATGTAACTCGAAAAAGAAATGATGACATAATCAAGGTATTGACGTTCCACACAACTTCAAATAGAAAAGTTAGGAAGTAACTCCTCATCAGTACTAGAAAGAGTATTTTTAATAGCTTGACTCACCATGGAAAATTGTTTTAAGAGAAATATTTTATAAGTTTCAACCAACATTGGTACTTGCTGATCGATCAATGAATGCTGAGAGTTTCATTATAAGGAAATGGATAATATTATCATTATCTATCTATCTATCTATCTATCTATCTATCTATCTATCTATCTATCTATCTATCTGTCTCCGTCTTTTCATATCTATCTATCTATCTATCTATCTATCTATCTATCTATCTCAATCTTTTCATATCTATCTCAGTCTTTTCTCTCTCTCTCTCTCTCTCTCTCTCTCTCTCTCTCTCTCTCTATCTCAATCTATTCATATCTATTTATCTGTCTCGGTCTTTTCATATCTATCTATCTATCTATCTATCTATCTATCTATCTATCTATCTATCTATCTATCTATCTCAGTCTATTCATACCTATTCATCTATTTCAGTCTTTTTATCTCATCTATCTATCTATCTATCTATCTATCTATCTATCTATCTATCTATCTATCTATCTCAGTCTCTTCATATTTATCTATCTGAAACAGTCTACTCATATCTATCTCTCTCAATCTGTTCAATTTTTTACAGTAATGTTCACACTTTACAAGGTCCGTTTATATGAACAAGGGATGGGGCGGAGATAACGGTTAACCCTAGAGTTGAACAGGTTAAGATTGTAGTGACCGAGGAATCACCCTCTTGGGAGTCGGTTCAACTGGGCAGTGGTTCGCGTTAAAAAGCTGTTCGAGTGAAACTAACTTCTCAACGATGGAATACAAGGGGAATGTGTGTGGTTTGCTACAAAATAAGTTGCATGGCGGGTCATGGCCGTGAACGTTAGATCTAGCGGAACCAAGGAACGTAGTTCGTCCGAGCACTTTCCGTGGAATTAGCGATAGAGCAGTGTGAGGTTTGCCACTTTCCGTCTGTGAGAGAGTAGATGGTGAGTGGAAAATAATTCGTCACCCAAAAGAACTCGAAGACGCTTTTGAAATTTTATCGAGACTGGAATGTATGAACTGGGCTGTTTCCGCTCAAATATGGCAACAGTACCCCATTTATCCGGCGTAACCTGGCTCTTATAAATGTAGAGGATGGCCTGATGAGTCAGGAACTTACTGGAGTGGTACAGGGATCCGACCATTTTCCATCTATCTATCTATCTATCTATCTATCTATCTATTTATCTATCTATCTATCTATCTATCTATCTATCTATCTATCTATTAATTTTCTCTCACCTCTCTCTTTCTCTCTCCCCACATCTATCTATCTATCTATCTATCTATCTATCTATCTATCTATCTATCTATCTATCTATTAATTTTCTCTCACCTCTCTCTTTCTCTCTCCCCACATCTATCTATCTATCTATCTATCTATCTATCTATCTATCTATCTATCTATCTATCTATCTATTAATTATCTATCTATCTATCTATCTATCTATCTATCTATCTATCTATTAATTCTCTCTCACCTCTCTCTTTCTCTTTCTTTCTTTCTTTCTCTCTCTCTCTCTCTCTATCTATCTATTAATTCTTTCTCATCTCTCTCTTTCTCTCTCTCTCTATTAATTATCTCCCTCTTTCTTTCTCTCTCCATCTCTCTCTCTCTCTCTCTCTCTATCTATCTATCTATTAATTCTCTTTCACCTCTCTCTCTCTCTCTTTTCTTCTATCTCTCTCTATCTATCTATCTATCTATCTATCTATCTATCTATTAATTCTCTCTCACCTCTCTCCCTCTCTCTCTCTCTCTCTCTATCTATCTATCTATCTATTAATCTCTCTCTCTCTCTCTCTCTCTCTCTCTCTCTCTCTCTCTCTATCTATCTATCTATCTATCTATCTATCTATCGACTGGTATTATGAATAATTCTGTCTTGTGCGTTTTGTGACAAAATCTTTTCGCTTGTACAACCAAGTCTGAAATGAAGTCCTTCGCCTGAACCTTTTCTCTCCGTTCATCGTATTTCCTATGAGTTCACAATGGCTTTGATCTTCTACACCAGTGAAGAAACATCACTTTTTCTGCAATTTCCCCAGCATGTATTTCCTTCCCATATTGCTTCCCACAGTCCAGAATTTTAAGAAGCAAAGTCTTACGGTCATATCACGTTGAAACACCTATTCTCGTATGATCACTGAAGTTAAGCAACATCGAGCCTGATCAGTATCTCGATGGGGGACCGCTTAGGAATACCAAATGCTGTAAGCTTTGATGTTCATTGGTGTAATAGCCTTACGGTCATATTACGTTGAAACACCGGTTCTCGCACGATCACCAAAGTTAAGCAACGTTGAACGTGAATCAATATCTAGATGGGTGACCCCTTGGAAATACTAGGTGTTGTAAGCTTGGATATGTGGGTGGTGTAATGGACAACGGTTCAGAATTGGAAATCGGAGAACCGAGTTCCAATTCCAGTTAGGTTCGTTATATTTACTTGCATGCAAATACATTTCGGAAAGGTATAAATTCTCCCATTCCAACAAGCTATCATTTAATTAGTAGAAACTGTATCAGTAAAAATTATTATTATCTATATTCCTGGGTATGACGATAAAATACATCCGGCAGCATGGCCTCTGCTCGGCAGGTTTTGAGGAGCATGAAACCATCTCTTAACTGCTGTTGTTCCCAGGCCCACCATGACTAGGGGTAGTAGCACCTGTTAGGGTCCCAGTTATGGACAATTTGTGAACTCCCAAACACATTGAAAGTATAAAAATACATTTTTATAGTAAAAATACCAACAATGCATTTGTATATCGAAAATTGCCAACAATACTTATTTGTAGTGAAATTACCAATAATGCATTTTATCTGTAGTTGTACGCTCCGGCCTTCTTCAGGTGGTTTATTTCGCTCGCTGGAGTAGACTGTTTTGACATTCATTAAACATGGCACGTGGAGCTAGAATAGTCTATCCCAGCGAACGAAAGAAAGGGTTCAATTCCACATTCCAACTACCTGCAGAAGGCTGGAGCGTACAACGGCCGAAACGTTGTGATAAATACGGCAACAAAGATGAGGACAATAGTCCGAATAATGTAAATAGTATACATAATACCTCACCTCAGAAATATAGACAGATACTTAAAGACCGAAACGTTGTAATAAATATGGCGACAAAGATGAGGACAAGGGTCCGAATAATGTAAATAGTGTACATAATACCTCACCTCAGAAATATAGACAGATACTGAAAGGCCGAAACGTTGTAATAAATATGGCGACAAAGATGAGGACAATGGTCCGAATAATGTAAATAGTATACATAATACCTCATCTCAGAAATATAGACAGATACACAAATATGAACTTACTTTATTTCAGCGTTTCTATTCAACTATTTGTGCATCTAACTAACGCTGTACCATTACTACTTCCACACATACAGACACACACACACATATAAATACGCTTAAATTCACCTTCATCCCTGCCGTGCGCCAACTCAGTCGGGTTTCGATCCTAGGTAGAGGCAACAAGACATCTAGCCACACTGATGAGCTGTGATACAGCGAAACAGTCTGTCTGTGGATGACAATATATATGCTCCTGAAAAAGGTTTTTTTCGGTTGTGCTCTCTGGGGAGGAAGTGCGGGTTTGTAAGCAGTGACTATTACGGCTAATAATGCAATACTCTTCGGTAAGTTGAATCGAGTTCTCTCAGTCACTGTGTGTTTATCTAAAAATAAATACGCTTAAATTCACCTTCATTCCTGTCGTGCGCCAACGGCTTAGTTGCAGAATCCCCGACTGACATCAATTCAGTCGAGTTTCGATCCTAGCTAGAGGCAACCGGCCGCACTGATGAGCTGTGATACAGCGAAACAGTCTGTATGTGGATGACTATATATATATATATATATATATATATATATATATATATATATATATATATATATATATATATATATATATGTGTGTATGCCATGAAAATATTTTGCGGCACACTTAAGAGGATCGCGTGGCACACGAGTGAGCCGCGGCTCGGCCGTTGAGATCTAAAGAGTGGGATTAATCTTTTGTAAATTTTAGATCACTGTAGTAAATAAGCTAAAAAAAATAAGCAATTAATGATGACAAATGCTAAATGAAATTCATACTGTTTGTTTATAATACTTCATCAGGGAGTTTTCATTCACACAAAAAAATCTAAATTCAGAGGTAAAAATAAACATAAATAAGCAATATCATATACCTATAATGTAAACAGTAATATTACATATATGAAATTAAATAAAAAGTCAAAAGTACCTTAGCTTATCTCACATGTTCTCGCGGAATCCTTAGACACCTTTTTCGGAATCTTAGGGTTCCGGGGAGCCCCGGTTGAGAAACGCTGATCTAGAGTAAGCTTCTTTTTTTGGAGGAAATGACAGATCCTTTCAGGATATGGGCAATCATAGCTGTTCACAGATTCTCTAGTTTGTTTATTTTTATCTGTGAATTGTCATGATTTCTTCGGAAAGATAGTGGAGTGGTTTCCTATTGTCTTCTCAACAGTTTAGAATTTAATTTTCCTTCTCATAGACTGGTTACTATCAAAGGTTGAGAGGTCAGTCTACCCTCCATAGCTAGGAAGAGGAGTAGACCCCCCCCCCAAAAAAAAAACCCCAAAACAAAAACACAACAAAAAAAAAAAAAAAAAGAAAAAATCATAAATGTAAAAAGAAAAGCGAACATAGGATTTTAGTGCAAAAGCCCGGGATTGAACTCGACTCGCCACTTCAAGTTTTTATGCTGATATCCGTTGTACCACTCGTAAATCCGCCGCTGATAGGCAAATATCGGTATTTAAACATTTTTTTCTCCTTCTTAATTCCTACTTTTTTTTGAGGGGGTGGGCTTTACTTTTTTCTCTGTCTACTTTTTTACCCATAATATTTTTCATTCTTTTTTCTCCCTTATTTTCCTCCGTTTTCTTTCATTTCTTTTTTTTTTCGCTGTTCTTTTTTGTTCTTTTCTTTTTCTCATTCTTTTTAAACATCTAATTTCCACCTTATGATTTTTTCGTTTTCGTTTTTCTTCTCAATTCTTTTTCTCTTTCTTTTATCTTCTTAACCGTCTTCTTTCTTTCTTTCTTTCTTTCTTTTCCTTCTAATTTCTTTCTTTCTTTCTTTTCTACATTTTTACCTCGTTACTCCTTTATCCCATTCTTCTAATTTCTTTCTCATCTGTCTTCTTCTCCCGTTTCTTCTTCTTCTTCTTCTTCTTCTTCTTCTTCTTCTTCTTCTTTTCCTTTCTCTTCTTCTCCCTTTTCTTTTTCTCTCTTTTCTTCTTTTTCTTCCCCTTTTTAATTCTAATTTCATCTTTATTTTCTCCTTCCATTTTCCTTCATCTTTACTCCTCGTTCGTTCATGTTATCTTCTTTCTTGATTTTCCATCTTCTCCTCCCCTTCTTTCATCTTATTTTTCTTTCTCCTCCTCCTCCTCCTCATCTTTCCGTTTAATCTCCCCCCCCCAGTTGTTCACTCTCCTGCCACTTCCTTTTTATCTCCTCTTCTAAATCTTGATACAATTCACTTCTTATTTTTTATCTTCTCTTCCTTTCCTCTTCAACGAATTGAGGTCTCCCTTTTCTTCTTTCCTTCTTATGTCACCTTACCTTTTCCGGCTTTTCTCTACTCCTCCTCCTCTTCTAAATTATTTTCTTCTTGCCTTCTTTTCTTTCTTCTTCGTTTCATTTTTTTCGCCCGTTTTGCTTGAGTCTTTTATTCACAGCCGCTTTTCGACTTATGTCTTGCTTTCATCCGCTAAGGTTTTCCTCCATTTATTTTTCTCTTCTTATCTTTTCTTTTTTTCTCTTCTTTCTTTTCTTTCCTCTTTTTTTTAACCTTATACTCTTTCTTTTCTCTTACGTTCTTTCCTTTTTTCACTTCCTTTCTGACTTTTCGTTTGTATTCCCTGTTTTTTTCTTTCTGCTTCCTTTTTGTTCTATTATTTCCTCTTCCCTTTTCTTTCCTCTTCCTTTCATCCTTTTCTTTTGTATTCCTTCCTTCCTTCCTTTTTCTTTCAGTCATTTCATATTTTATCTTTCTTTCTATCTTTCTTTCTTTTCCTTCCTCCCCCACTCTTTTCTTTTTTCTCACCCTTTCCCCCTTGTTTCTTTTCTTTTTCTACACTTCTTTCTGTTCTCTGCTCTTTATTTACTTTTTTCTACCCTTCTTTTTTACTGTTTTTTCTTTTCTTTCTTCTTTCTTTTTTTTCTTCTTCTTATCTCTTTTCTTCCAGTTTCCATTATTTTATTTTATTTTTTCTTGTCTTTCTTTTTTCTTAATTCTCTTTCGTCTTTCCTGTCTTCTTCTTTTTTCCCCTATTCTTTCTTTCTTTCTTTCTTTCTTTCTTTCTTTCTTTCTTTCTTTCTTTCTTTCTATCTTTTCCTCCTCTGCACCTCACCTACTTCTTCTCTCTCCCCATTTTCTCTGTTTCACTCCTTTTCCCGTTCTCGTCTGCTGTCGGCAGTTTTTTTTTTAAATTATGTCCTCGTTAAATGGTCTTTCCTTTTCATCTTCACTTCTCCCCGATTCTTTCTTTTTTTCTTTCTTTCTTAACCTTTCCCGTCCATCCTTTTTTTCTTTCTTTTTCCACTCTAACTTCCTTTCTCCCATCGTTTTTCTTCCCTCTCATTTTAAATCCCTCCCCAACCTAACGCTTTCCATTTTTCTTTCTCCCGCCACTTTCCTTTTAACAATCTTTTATTCTATCCAGCATTTTATAGTTATCTTCCACCTTCTTTCATCTCGTCTTGTCTTTATTCTTCTTTTTTCTCCTTATTTTCACATCGATACACGATTCTTCTTGTCTGCTTTCGATTTTCTCTGTTTTCTTCTTTCTTTTTTTTCCTGCCATTTTCTACTCGTCCTCATCTTTTTCATCATTTCTAAATTATTTTTTTTCACCTTACTCTCTTGATATTGCCTTTTCGTTCCTTCCATTGTATATTTTATGCTACCTTTGTTTTCTTCTTCTTCTTCTTCTCTATTATCATTTATTATCCTCTCTTCTTCTTCATTAAACTATTTTACCTCTTCTTTTATTTCCTCCTTTCGTTCCTTCTTTCTTCTTGTTCTTTATATTATTTTGCCTCTTCTTTTCCTTCATCCTTTCTTTCCTTCTTTCTTTCCTTCTTTCTTCTTGTTCTTTATATTATTTTACCTCTTCTTTTCCTTCCTTCCTTCCTTCCTTCCTTCCTTCTATTATTTACTTCTTCTTTTACCTCTTACCTCCTCCCCTTCTTCTTTCTATTATTTTTGCCTCTGTTTTACCTTCTTTTTCTCCGAGAGTATTCTTCTTTTATTTTTTCTTCTTCTTTTCTTCTTCTTTCTATTATTTTACCTCTTCCTT